TTCATCCCCTCACACCCGCCGAAAGCCAAAACAGCACCGGCTCGTGGTTCAACATGGCCTCGACCAGCTCCTCAACGCCAGGGGATCAGTCCTCCGCGAACCCCGGCGACGCGGAAGAAGACGACCGCCGCTACCTGATTATGGATCTCCGCATCCACATGAACGACATCAAGGCCGCCGTGCCCCTCTTCACGAACCAAATGTCGTACATCAACCAGGCCCTCGTCCGCCCCATTGTCGCCTACATCAACGCCAAGAAGACGTACATTCCCATCTCCTGCCGCATCGTCAAGCGCGCCTCCGACTTTGACGGCTCTTGGACCGTCTTTGACTGCGGTCTCATGGACGACCTCTCTGCCGAGACGTACGAGGCCTTTGCCCGCGACGTCGAGAACCAACAGAGCCGCGTCCGCCGGTTCCGCAAGGTCGGCTTCTGGACACTCAGCCTGGCCGTGCACGCCCTCTTCATGGGCATGGCCGGGAACGTTGTCTGAAGCTGCTGCTGCTGCTACTGTCTATAACTAAGTCTTTTCTGCGCAACTTTGGCGAGCCGCTGCGCTGTTGTCATCATCTCGTCTTTTTATTTCTCTCTTCATCACTCCTCTCCAAGCGACTGCGTGTTGTACACAAGGGTGCAAGTCGTGGACATACGACAGGACACAAGGAACGGAACTAGGGGACCATTGCTGGGACCGGGGTTCGGGGCGTTTGGTCTTCTCTTTTTCAGGGGACGGTGGTGAAATTCCGGCATCTCCGCGTTGCCGTTGATGATTTGGATGTGTATGGATCGATAGGGAGAGAAGGGCAAGGCGGGGCAGGAATATATCAAATGATACCCCTTTACACCTGTGTCTGGTTGTAAATCATGTTGATGTGACCTTTCGGCTGAGACGGCCCGAATATACAAGCTTGTCAATGCTGCAACAGTCTGTTCGTCTCGCAATGGACTTGCTCGATCGCCAGATCCCAGTATTCAACATAAGGACCCTTTTCACAAGTCTGTCTGTCGATGGTTTCTAGACGCGGCGTTTTCCGAGTCCACCTTCTGTGCTTCACTTAACCATCCCACACACATATAAAGTAATGAAAGCAAATTCATATTGTTGGCTTCGAACCCCTACTGTGTAAGACTGTCCCATCTCATCAATACCAGCCATATAAGCATAGCTTGCATAACCATACTCAGCGTCCCCCCCCTCGCAATTACTTTTGGGTAAAACAAAGTGTCCTAGGCCATTATGCTCGCCACTTGGCGCATGAGCCTGTGAAAAGGACTAACCATACGACCCCTTCGGATGTCCCCCTTGCTCCTGGTGCTGCCGCCGCCGTTACGGAGCGACTGACAGATGAACGCCTCCCGCATTCATGCACCGACGTCCTCTAGCCCCTGGCGAAGTCCAGACCTCCTTATTCTCCTTCCTCTCAGCATGGCGCGGGAGAGGATGCACACGTGGGCAGCGACGCCGAAGTGTCGGCGATTTCGCTTGATGCTTGATGCGGCGTCGTACGAAGCGCGCAGCTGGTAGGCAGAGCTGCGAGTCGTACAGGCGGAGGTGCTCGGGGCAGGACGCCGACGAGGGAGGAAAAGTTCTGAGAACTTGAACAGCCCGTTCACATGAAATCATCACTGACAATGAGGGTTAGCACGCGAAGATTTCCCACCAAAAAATCATGTGCCTGCAGGTGACTTACTCTCCGAAGCCATCGTCCTCGTAAGTCTTGGTGTCGATGACATCAGCACGGTTGGCGACAAGAGACGTCTTGTTCTTTGAGGCCTTGGTCTTCTTGCCGCCGCCCTGGGCAGCCTTCTCCTCCTTCATCCTCTCGTTGCTGAGGGCAGTGAGAGTGGAGGCAACCTTCTTGACTTGATCGCTGGGAAGATCCTTGGCCAGCTGCTTAGCAAACTCCTGGAGGAAGATGGCGTAGTGGGCCTTCTTGGAGTGGGCGCCGATGATGGGCACGAGGGTGTTGCGGAGGTTCTCGAACTGGGTCTTGGTGGTAGGCTTGAAGAGGGGCAGGTCGGCAATGTTGACGGTGCGGGTAGGGTCGCTGGCGTCAAGGGCAACAGCGGCGCCGGCAGTAGTAGCCTTGCGGCCGGCGGGGACGGAACCGACGTCACCGAAGAGGTCCTGGGCGTGCTTCATGTCGGAGTCCTTCTCGGTGCGGCGGAGACGCTCACGCTTCTGGGCTTCGGTTTCCTCGTCGCTAGATTCGCCCTCAGCGGCGAGCTCG